GTGGTTATGATATAACATATTATGATTTGGAATCATAACTTTGGTGTATTGATTTTTTTGTGAATATGTTAACGTGGCATCAACTTCAACAAGACATGATGTTTGCTTTGTAAATGTCAGTCATTTTAAGAGAGAATAGATAGGAGGCATGTCAGTAGACAAATTCATGTGTGTGGAGATCGATTGGCAGGCTGACATCTCCTGCAGATTTATCCTTAGATGGTCCAGATGGCAACTACAAGTAGTATCATAATCTATGAACCTCTGTTAGCTGACCAATATTGCCTTGAGCTTTGTCCTGAGGTTGCTAAAAACGTATGTTTACAGCTTGCAGTCATCATTTTTTTTCGATCAGGTGTGTAGGATGAATGACAATAAAAAGTCAAAACAAATATTTTCTGCAAAGGAACAAACAGGAGAAAATCTATTTATATATATATGTTGATATAGAAGTATGCATATAGATAATATAATAATTAAGATTCTGTCAATTTCACCACTGCTTTTTTTCTGCATTCCATATGTTTTTACTGTGTTCCTATTAGATCCTACTTTGTTGATTGACTAAAATGTGTTTCCATGTTCCTCTGTGAAAAGGTCTTGATGTCAAATATTCTCCTGATATTTATTATCTAAAATTATTTTGTATAATCAGTAAATTGGAGTTATATGTCCTTTGGGGTTGCCAATGGAGTTTTGTCTCGTCATTTCATCTGGTCTGTGTTCATCACAGTACCAGCTGGAGGCAGAAAGAAGAGAACTACGGGACAGGACAGTAATAGTATTTTCAATTTTTGCTAAAAAAAAAAAGACAAACAAAAAACCAAAACAAAACGGTAAGTTGTTGATTTATTCAGAGCAGTAGGAAGCTCAAAGAAATCTCTGACTGTCTCTGTGAGAAACATTGATCAGAGAGCAGCAGGGTCACGTATGAATAACGATTTCCTGACAAAAATGCGAAAACACATGATAGGGAGCGAAATATTTCTCTTTACTGCTATTTCTCCCTTTTTGTGTACATGAAAACCCAAGTGCTGCCATCTATTAGGAGAGTATATTCAAACACAATCTTGGTCTCCCAGGTTTTATACCCTGGGCATCAAATCATCTTGTTGATGTATCTAATATATATATGTATATCGTTGATATCAAATATAGGGTTTTCCACCAGTCATTTAATGGAACGTCCATTTAGGAAGAACCGTGTATCCATGGTAGCAGTCTTTTGTCAGTCAGGTGACGTGTTTCCTCTACATTATTTGTATGGAGCTTGTAATGATCGCCCTCATAACAGCTGATGCTACCTACTGGTGACCTTGTTCCTAAAAGCACAGAATCTGAGATCATCCAAACACCACAGTTAAGAAAACCTAAACTAAACATACTGTAAATGTGAAGATAGACCTGTTTCATTAATAATCACATACGGAACAAAGAATCCTAACATGGTACAGTATCTTAATACAATGGAAACAACCAAATTGTCTTGCATTCAGAAATATATAATATATGTAATATATTCTACTCTAAGACAACAACCACAGCAGCTCTTCTGCCGAATACAGCAGAAAAAGGACAAGAAGAGAGAAATGTTCCTGGTGAGAACAAAGAGGTTGGAGCCTGTTTTTCTTCGCACTCCACACCTTGTTCCTTGAGAATTGATTCATCAATAATAGAAGGAGATAACTAAAGGTGAACATGTACAAGGCAAGGAAAGGCATTCTCCTGCAGAACATGTGTGGAAAGGCACACTCACGGCAGCTTAGTCTCTCACACACACACACAAGTTGCTGCTCACCTTACTACTGTATCTACAACACATGCAAAAATATTTTCACATCACAAAATCTTTTAATTTAGCTTTAGCAAAGTTCGGATTTTCCTGCGTTATTCCCTTAAATAAAATAATATATAAAAAAGAGATAAAATAATATTGTTTAAAATGCTTATGATGAAGTGCATTTTAGGTTTTGGGCCTTAGGGTGTACTGGTAGTGCTGTACATTTGTGTATGTGTCCATCATTTGTGTGCAGAGCCTCTCAGGCACCCTGGAGCCTGAGGACATGATAGAGGCCACATTTAGACCCTGTTTAATGCAGTAGTTCTTAACTTTTAATTATATAGGAAGAATGGAGAACCCACAGTTTGCTGAATCATCTCTTAGGACACTTATGCAGCCCTCAGCAAATTATTATTTAAAGTTATAACTATTGGCCAAGTACATTAAAAAAAAGTAGTAAAACCAGACAGGTGCAAAAATATCTAGGAGTGGCTATTATTAACAAAATTTACTTGGAAGATTTTTTTTTTTTGATAGATGTCACAGCACTACCACACAATGAAAATGTGTCCTCTTCAAAAAGAGCCTTTTGGCGACAACAAAACCAAAAGCTGTGAACTGCAGCTTTAAATTATATTATATTGATCTGATTTGAACTGACAGGATCGATGCCTATTGTGTTTGACTACAGAGAATTTGTGAAATAATCTTTTTTTTTATTCAATGAGAGTTTAATTTGGTTAGGTGTCACTATGACCTCCACTTACTGTTATTGTTATTAACTAAATAATAAGATAAGAAACTGAAGATTTGACATAGAGATGAAATTCCTCCACTTTGCTAGTGAGGTCACACTCAGTGGTCACTTTATCAGATGGTCAGATGGTGGTGAATATTACATATGTCAAACAGTGGCACAAATAAAAAAAAGTATGAGACACATATATGGATTCATACATGGAGGTTGCTTTTTTTTTCGCAAAACGTGGTGGTTTAAAAAAAGGAAAACAAAGGCATCAAATATTTCCATTCTCTCTATTGTTTTAAGACAGATATACATTTACCACCATGGCAAACCATTTTACATTGTTTTTCCTCCAGG